GGCTGACGTCTGTGCCTGGACCGGCAATCCTCACGTGATGCACAAAGCCCTATCTGGACCCTGGTGTGGGAGGCCCCGACCCTGAAGAGGGGTTGACCTCTGGTTCTGGCTCTGCAGTCCTCCCGCGATGCACCAAGTCCTGTCTGGACCCTGGTGTGGGAGAGTAGACGACCGGACCCGGACTGGGCAGGTAGCTTAGTGGTTAAGAGGGTTGTGCCAGTAACCGAAAGGTTGCTGGTTCTAATCCCCGAGCCGACTAGGTGAAAAATGTGTCGATGTGCCCTTGAGCAAGGCACTTAACTTAAAAGCTTAAATAATAAAAACAAGCTTAAAAAGGGAAAAAATTTTAAAAAAAAAATAAAAAACCTAAATAAAAATTACAAAAAAAATCTATAGTCTACTATCATAAAACCCACCACTACTACTGCTCTACTATCATAAAAAACCCACTACTCACTGCTCTACTATCATAACAACCACTACTACTACGTGCTCTATATCATAACAACCACCTACTACTGCTCTACTATCATAACAACCACTACTACTACTGTTCACTATCATAACAACCACTACTACTATGCTCTACTATAAATAAAACCCAAACTACTACTACTATAACTATCATAACAACCACACTACTACTATAATAACAACCACCACTACACTGCTCTACTATCATAACACCACATACTACTGTCTACTATCATACACCACACTACTACTCTACTATATAACAACCACTACTACCTACTGCTCTACATCATCATAACATGACCATCCACTATACTACTAGCACTATCATAACACCACTACTACTGAACTAAACATATAAATATATAACAACCACCACTACTACTGCTCTACTATCATAACAACCACCACTACTACTGATCTACTATCATAACAACCACCACTACTACTGCTCTACTATCATAACAACCACCACTACTACTGCTATACTATAATAATAACCACTACTACTACTGCTCTACTATCATAACAGCCACTACTACTACTGCTCTACTATCATAACAACCACCACTACTAGTGTTCTACTATCATAACAACCACTACAGTACTACTACTGTTCTACTATCATAACAACCACCAGTGTTGCTACAGCAGTTACTACTACTACTACTGTCCAGGGTTATAGTGCCAAGTCTTTTTTAATTGCATCACTTCGGGATATGAATTGAAATTCAAGCCATGGAGTTGAAAAGTCCTCATAGCATTGTCTGACTGAATTGAAATGGAACTGACCCTGCTATTCTAATGACCTCTCTACTACCTCCTATGTTGTCGTTGCTTAAATCATGCCGGCCCAGTCAGCCGTGTGATTTGACTAATGGGACTTCTGTTGAACATCATTAGCCATTTAGCCAGAGCCCACAGCTACAGCAACAGATGGACCAGGGCATATTGGAACGCAACAACAGACTCAGGTACCTGTTTAAAGCTGCCTTCTCAAAGAGAAGACGAGAATCTTTAGAAAAATCACCGCTCCAATGCGCTTTCTGTGCCTTTTTTCCACTTGACTTTGAGTGTATCTGTTCAGTCTTGACCTTCACCAATGACAAATTGATATGGATAACTGCCATATTGAAACACAATGACATAGAATAGGAAAAGCTTTTCCCCCTTCCACAGGTAGACAGCAGACATAGTGGTACACACACGCACACGTCCCTCCAAACAAAACCCTTTTTCTAAGCTCTGTCTCATCCCTGGGGCTTTCTCTCCACTTGACTCAGAGTGACTCTGCTTTCTATTCTCTCTCTCTCTCTCTCTCTCTCTCTCTCTCTCTCTCTCTCTCTCTCTCTCTCTCTCTCCCCCTCCCTCCCTCTCTCCTTTTTCTCCCTCCTTCACACCATAGCTGTAGACTGTTTATGTTTAGATGGCAGCCTTCTCTCCCCGCGCCTCCAGCCAGCTCCAACCAGCTCCAGCCTGACCTACTTGGCAGGTGAGGTCAGGTAGAGCTCGCGCTGTCACCACACAGATGGCATGTTCCAACGAGGCGGTTTTAGGGAAAACATGGGTAGTAGGGGCTAGGGGCAATTCTGTCAAACTGCCACCCGTGACATCATGCCAGACATGTCCACAGACGTGTGGGTACATGGTAGCTGCCTGGGCAGCAAAGTATATATAATCCCCTGTTTCTATCAAACCCTAGACAAAACAACCAACTGCTTCTCAAATCATATACAAATTACAGCTTATATCAAACTTTTCACAAATACTGCTTGTATCAAATCCTATTCAAACTACTGCTTATACCAAACCTTATACAAACTCATACTGCTTGTATCAAACCCTATGCAAACTACTGCTTATATCAAACCTTTTACAAATATTGCTTGTATCAAACCCTATGCAAACTACTGCTTATACCAAACCTTATACAAACTACTACTGCTTGCAGGCAACACTCAAAAGGAGAAAGGAAACCTTTGTGCACTGCAGAGGTGCTGGTTGTGGAGAGATCAATAAGATCTCAAAGAGTCACACATTGTGCAATCATTATCCAGAAAAAATGGAGATAGATGCTATAGATCTCACATGAGGCCGTGTGTAACGATGGAAGTTATGACATGACATAACATAAACTGACATAAGAAGAATAATGGTATAGAACAGAGCGTCAGAATGGATGTTGAGAAGCGGCCCTTAAGGAAACGTGAATGTGAGAAACATCTCCTATCCTCTAGGAATTAATCCTCTTCTTTAGTAATCCCCACATACAGTATAATACCTTACGATTAGCAGATCCATCCTCACTTAACACCTCCTGTTCCTAGAGCCCTCCACCATACAGCACCATTGTTCAGCCTGAGGTACACAGAGGTAAGAGCAAGGGCATGCTCCACCAACAAATCAAATAAATAAAAGCAACAACAAATAAAACCTGTCAATGCAGGTGTGAACGCTCCGTTTCCCATGCATAGACTGTTTCCCACGTGGTCTCAGGATGTTATTTAATAGATCTTGGCACCAAATTGGCATTATCAGTGTGTAAGCAGCTAAAGCGCAGTGTGCCAGAGGCAGCTAAAGGGCTTTGTCCGCCACGCCACGAGCAAAGCCGATTTAAAAAATGAGTAAAGCCAAACAAGGAGCATCCGATTGAGACAATACAGTGTGTGTGTGTTTGTGTTTGTTTTTTGTTTGTGTTTGTGTGTGTGTGTGTGTGTGTGTGTGTGTGTGTGTGTGTGTGTGTGTGTGTGTGTGCGTGCGTGCGTGCGTGTGTGTGAGGCAGCCTGTAAAAATGACAATTAAGCATTAGTGTTTTGACAGCCTCTGCTAAAAACAGCCTTTCTCTCTATTACAGGCTAAATCTCTCTTTCTCTCTAATCCCCGACATTGGAAATAGACAATGGACAAACATAGTGTTATAATAACACCCTATCGGAATTCAATTATTGAATTATCTGGCTCACTATGTCATCTCTATTTCTACTGAAATGTCTATATATGTCTCTCCTATTCCTTTAGTTTCAGTCAGTCTGTCTGTTTCAGCCATTATTTCTTGCAGTCCGTTTCTGTCCTTCCCTCTCTCAGTCTCTTTGTGTCTCTCTGTCTCGCTCTGTTCCTCAGCTTATCTGTAATGACTATAAAACTGTCGCAGCACAAGTTGTGATGATCCCTCCAAACAACACTGACACACACAAACTAAATCTTTCCTTTCATCAGATGGAAGAGAGCGAGAGAAAAAAAGAGAGAGGAGGAAGAGAGGAAGGTATATCAAAAGAGATTCTCAAAAATAGTCTGAAGTGCTGCTCCTAATGCCTGAAAGCCATAGTACCACATCCCTCATTCCTATGGCCCCATCCCCTGTTCAAGATCACTCATTCCTCAGGCCCCATCCCCAGTTCAAGATCCCTCATTCCTATGGCCCCATCCCCTGTTCAAGATCCCTCATTCCTATGGCCCCATCCCCAGTTCAAGATCCCTCATTCTTATGTCCCCATCCCCAGTTCAAGATCCCTCATTCCTATGGCCCCATCCCCAGTTCAAGATCCCTCATTGCTATGGCCCCATCCCCAGTTCAAGATCCCTCATTCCTATGGCCCCATCCCCTGTTCAAGATCCCTCATTCCTATGGCCCCATCCCCAGTTCAAGATCCCTCATTCCTATGTCCCCATCCCCAGTTCAAGATCCCTCATTCCTATGGCCCCATCCCCAGTTCAAGATCCTTCATTCCTATGGCCCAATCCCCTGTTCAAGATCCCTCATTCCTATGGCCCCATCCCCGGTTCAAGATCCCTCATTCCTATGGCCCCATCACCAGTTCAAGATCCCTCATTCCTATGTCCCCATCCCCAGTTCAAGATCCCTCATTCCTATGGCCCCATCCCCAGTTCAAGATCCCTCATTCCTATGGCCCAATCCCCTGTTCAAGATCCCTCATTCCTATGGCCCCATCCACAGTTCAAGATCCCTCGTTCCTATGGCCCCATCCCCTGTTCAAGATCCCTCATTCCTATGGCCCCATCCCCTGTTCAAGATCCCTCATTCCTATGGACCCATCCCCAGTTCATCTCCGCATAGCCTTTGCTCCGCTTCCATCATGACCCAACAAGTCATCACCATCTCCCCCCAACAGCACCCCACCATATTCCCTCAGCCAGTCCCAATTCCCTCCCTCCCCCTTCCCCTTGGCCCTAACCCTCCAATATTCGCAGATCTGTAAGGTGGAAGCAATATGGTGGAAGCTCTACCACTAAACTGCTGATACCTATCCAGACCTTACAGATCTGCAAACATCAAATGGTTAGGACCAAGGGGTAGGTGTAGGGAGTGTCTTTCCTTACCCCTTACCCTTTGCCCTTTGACCTCCATCTCCCCCTTTCTCCTCCCCCCTCCTTTTTACCCCCTACCACCCCTTAGACCTTCCCCAAGTCTCCCCTCACTCTCTACATCCTTGCACTCCCTCCCTCCTTCCTCCTCCCCTGTCCTCACCGTCTCCCTCCCTCCTTCCTCCTCCCCTCCTCCCCTGTCCTCACCGTCTCCCTCCCTCCTTCCTCCTCCCCTCCTCCCCTGTCCTCACTGTCTCCCTCCCTCCTTCCTCCTCCCCTCCTCCCCTGTCCTCACCGTCTCCCACCAGCTGCAGCAGGGCCAGGTCGAGGGGGCGTTTCCAGCGGGAGTTCTTGTGCAGGGCGATACCGTAGCCTGTGGTGGCAAATACCTTCCCAGAGCCTATGGTCATCACCTTTGACAAGCAAACATCAATTCAATCAATCAATCAAGCAAGCAACTAATCACTCACTCAATCACTTACTCACTCCCTCACTCAACCAATCAACCAAGCAATACATCACATTTTTGTATTGCTATTTACACAAACGCAATGTTCACAAAGTGACAGCAATCCGCTATCTAGCTGACAATAATAAACTATAAAGAAGTAAATAAATAGAAGAAATAAAGTCAAACTTGTCTGGTCATCACCTTACAACCCTCGTCTTTCCTGGCCATGTAGTTCAACACAGCCGCATCGTAGATAAAGGCATCCAACTTCCTGTAGAGAGAGCGAGGGAGTGAAAGAGTTAATAGAACAGAGGGATAGGGGTAGAGAAAGAGAAAGGCAAGAGTTGAGAGAGTGAGAGAGATCTGAAGTTAGGACGAGAGAGGGGGAGGAGAGAGAAAGGGAGAAAGTGCCAAAGAGAGTGAAAAGTGAAGAGAGTGAAAGAGAGAGGGGATGGAAGGTGGAGAGAGAAGGATTTATATAGTACTGTGAGAAAAGAGATGGGAGGAGAGAGAGAGAGAGGGAAAGAAGATTTACACACTTCAGGGGGAAAAGACACATGGGGGAGAGAGATAGAGCGTGATGAGGATTATAACGTTTAAGCACAGACACACCGAGAGAACACACAGGGGAGGAAATAACCAGAGAGAGAGAGAGAGAGAGAGAGAGAGAGAGGGGGGGGGGGCATATATTAAAGAAAGGAAAGGAAAAAATGATGGAGAGATATAGAGAGAGGCTGAGGTGGAGCGAAAGAGAGAGAGAGAAGAGGGGTGAGAGAGGAAGACAGAGGGAGCAACAGAGAGCATCTCATTCCCAGCACATGAACAGTGTACTATAAATGGGGTGGCGGGGCAATAGGGGGAGAGATGATGACAGGGGCTTAGTGACAGTAAACTGTAAGGATGATCCAACCCACCAGACATATGATGCAGATTTAACAAGAGAGGAAGAGAGGATAGGGGAAAAGAGGAGAGGGATGCAGAGAGAATGAGAGGAGAGGGTAGAGGGGAAGATGGAGAGAGGAGAGGAGATGATATAGAGAGGGTAGTAGGAGAGGATGGAGAGAAGAAGAGATCTAGGAGTAGCTGAGAAGAGATTGATATGCGAGAAGATTGATAGCGTAAGGCGGACCTTGTGAGCGTGGAGCCCTGGCGCTCGCCGTCGCGTGGGCGCTATTTGCGCTTGTCGTCGGGGCGCTTTAGCGCGGCGCCTGTCGCGCGCTTCGCTGCGCTGCGCGTTGCTCTGCCCGTGCTCTCGGCTCTCTGCGCGCGCTCCGGTGCTCGCGGGTAGCTTGCCCGTGGCCTTCCTCTTTGGCTCCGCTGGCGCTTAGCGGGGGGGGGGAGTATTTCTCTTTCTGTAATACAGAGTGGGACAGAGAGAGAAAGAGAGAAAGCGAGAGAGTGAGAGCGAGAGAGAGGGGGGAGAAAAAGAGAGAGACAGAGATAGAGAGAGAGAGAAAGAGAGAGAGAGAGAGAGAGAGAGAGAGAGAGAAGAGAGAGAGAGAAGAGATAGAGAGAGAGTGAGAGAGTAAGGGTTAAAAAAGATGATAGAAATGTGTAACCAGACATTAGGATAAGGAGAGAGGGGTCATAGAGGAAGCTTTAGGGTGAGAGGTTGATATTGTGAGAGTGAAGTTTAGGGAAAAGAGTGAGAATGAGGGGATCATCCTCCCATAGACATACAGTAGTTCAGATTCCAGAGGGGACAGAAAGAAAGACAGACCCAGTCTTGAGGTTGTTAATGGCGTCCTCCACCCCTCTCTGGTTATATTTGACCATGTAATGGTGCATGCCAGGGTAGTTACTGCGGATGTTCTTCTCCGTACTCCCGTTGGGCACCGTGCCAAACTTCAGAGGGGGGTACTGCTCTGTGGGGTGCTGGAACTGAAAAAGAGTTGAGGAAGGAGAGTTTGAGTTGGGCTAAACATCCCTATTTTATGAAGAAACAGTGGCCCTATGTTTTTTACATCAGAGAACCATAGAGACCAAACCACATAAACAGTATGAATCCAGAAATCTAAAATAAAATCTCTAGCCATGTCCAATCACCATAACACTGAGCAGTATCACTACAACAAAGTATTGACCATAAAGCACATGCTATCATATTCAACCAAAACATTGAACATCAGAAAGCAGAAAGCAGAGAGAGAGAGAGAGAGAGAGAGAGAGAGAGAGAGAGAGAGAGAGAGAGAGAGAGAGAGAGAGAGAGAGAGAGAGAGAGAGAGAGAGGAGGGTGCCTGGACAGAAAAGTGTGCTTGCGAGTGCAATTCGTATCAAACTGAACATATTTTGAGCATTGGTACATCAGAATTGAACCCTTTGCCAAGTAACTATAACCCTTACCCACCTTACAAAAAACCACACCATCATTCTTCTATGTTTACCTTTTTGTCTGAGAGTCCAGAGACAGTGTCTATGTACTCCTCCTGGATCATGAAGGCAGCCAGGTTGGCTGTGTAGGAAGCCAGGAAGATGACAGCGAAGAAGGCCCAGATCAGCACCATGATCTTACTGGTGGTTCCTCTGGGGTTCTCCACCGGGACCGAGTTATTGAACACGATGGCCCACAGCAGCCACACAGACTTTCCTATGGTGAACGTAGAGCCTCCTGCCTCTGGATGGAGAGAGGGTGAGAAGGATAGAGGGAGAGGAGGGGGTGGGGGGGAGAGCAGGGTTGGGGCAGAGAAGGAGTTTGGTGGGGTGGGGTATGAGGGAGAGAGAGAGGGAGGACATGAGGGAAAAGGAGGAGGAGAGTGCCTCACTGGAAAGGTATGACTGCATTCAGTCAATAGTCATCTCAATAGAACTTTAAATGAAGGCATGCAGTGTTAAAGGGATACTAGCATGCTAGCAGATACCAATAGACTTCCAGTCATTGCGCTAACGCTAGTTAGCATTGGCTCGTGAAACCCCCTCTAACTTCCTTCATACTGGACACCGAGACATAGAAATAGTATCCACCAGTTAATCTGAATCTGGGGAAGTAGATAAAGGGCCTCATTGGCAAAATCCGAAGTACAGTATCCCTTTAATACACTCAGTAGTGGACAAACCAGTGCTGTAGTTTTGGACTCAACAACAACAGTGTATTCAACCCATTTTACTGTATATAACACTCTAATCAACATTATGGCCAATATTGTTCCACTCAAGATGAACTAAATATCCAAAAGAAAACTGGAATGATTGATCTATGCCTTATGATAAGGTATTGGTACTGACCTTGTATATAGTGTACATTCTTGTGTTTTATTTCTTGTGTGTTTTTATTTGATCTGACCTAGTATTGATCCTATTCTGGATGTTCTATTTCTTTACCTTTGATATGGAACACTGCATTGATGATGAAGAGCTTGAAAGTAAGCATTTCGGTGCACGTGACATATAAACTTTGATTTGATATAAGTAAATAATACCTTGCGGATTCCCTCTCAAGCACTGTCAATAAATATTGAACACCACCGCTTTCAACACTGAGATGTAATCATACACTTAATTTCACCACTCATGGTAAAATCTTCACCAAGATCGAACACTAGAACCCTTATTTTAAACGACAGGAGAAAGGGATGAGAGACAAGAGAGATGAAGGGAATGTGTGAGAGGAGGACAGAGAGGTAAAATATGTACAGCTCAGCAGCCATGCAGTAAAATATGGGAGAGAGAGAGAGAAAGAAAAAAGAGAGAGAAAAAAGAGAGAAAGAGAAATAGAGAGAGAGAGAGAGAGAGAGCAAGAGAGCGAGAGAAAGCGAGAGAGAGAGACCTAAGAGAGAGAAGAGAGAGAAGGAGAAAGAGCGCGGAGGTATCGGACAGAGGCGGGAAGCATACAGAATATGACAGCGGTGCAAACTAGACTGCTGAATAATATATGTCTGCTTCAATATTAAAAATATAGGGCTGCAATGCAACATATGAGAGAAAGTATTGGTTTCCATGCTCTGATACTGTCACGTTCGTTGTGTAAAGGATTGGACCAAGGTGCAGCGTGGTATGCGTACATGTTTAATGTTAATATTAAACACTCTACAAAATAACAAAGCAACTGAACGTGAAGTTCTAAAGGCTATACATCAAACAAGCCAAACACACAGAAACAAGATCCCACATCTAAAGGTAGGCAAAATGGCTACCTAAGTATGATCCCCAATCAGAGACAACGATCGACAGCTGCCTCTGATTGGGAACCACACCCTGCCAACATAGACATAGATAACATAGATCTACACCTAGAATTTCACACCCTGACCAAACCAACTAGAGATCTCTATGTCAGGGCGTAACAGTGTGGGAGAGTAGACGACCGGACCCGGACTGGGCACCGGTGGAGCGGACAGCTCTGGCACTGGAGTGGAGACGCTGACCGGAGCTGAACTGGACCCCGGTGGAGCGGACTGCTCTGGCTCTGGACTAGAGCAGCTGACCGGGGCTGGACTAGGCACCGGTGGAGTGGACTGCTCTGGCATGGGACTGGAGCAGCTAACCGGAGCTGGACTAGGCACCGGTGGAGCGGACTGCTCTGGCATTGGACTGGAGCAGCTAACCGGAGCTGGACTAGGCACCGGTGGAGCGGACTGCTCTGGCACTGGAGTGGAGCAGTTGATCGGAGCTGGAATGGGCACCGGTGGAGCGGACTGCTCTGGCACTGGAGTGGAGCAATTGACCGGAGCTGGAATGGACACCGGTGGAGCGGACTGCTCTGGCACTGGAGTGGAGCAGCTGACCGGAGCTGGACTAGGCACCGGTGGAGCAGACTGCTCTGACCCTGGACTGGGCCGTACCGGGCTGGGGCCACACACCACAGGTCTGGTGCGAGGAGCAGGCACGGGCCGTACCGGGCTAGGGACACGCACCACTGGTCTGGTGCGAGGAGCAGGTACGGGGCGCACCGGGCTGGAGACACGCACCACTGGTTTGGTGCGAGGAGCAGGTACGTGCCGTACCGGGCTAGGGACACGCACCACTGGTTTGGTGCGAGAAGCAGGTACGGGGCGCACCGGGCTGGAGACACGCACCACGGGTCTGTGAAGGCGCCCTGGCGGCACAGTGCGCAACGGCGGCGCATAGCCTGGTGCCTGCACGGTCACACGCTCCTCAAAGCGAGTGCGGGGAGTTGGCTCTGCTCTGCAACCTGGCTTCGCCAGCCTCTGCTCTAAGTACTGAGCTCTCTGCTGCTGAAGGGTTAACTCCTCTCTCAGCTCCTCCTGTTGCCTTGCCAACTCCTCTCTCAGTGCATCCACTGACTTCTTCTCCCTGTGAGCCTCCTGTAGCGCCTCCCTCTGAAGGGAGAACTCCTGCTCCCTCTGAGCTAACAGCCCCCGCAATGTGGTGGTCTCCTCTCTCAGACTGCTGAGCTGCAGGTCTTGGAGGGCCTCTACTATAGCGGCCTCCTCCTCCTCTCGAGTCAGCCTTTTCACGGCCTCCTGCTGCTTCGTCGACCACCCGTGTGCCCCCCCCCAAATTTTTTCTTGGGGTTGCCTCTCGGGCCTCCTTCGTCGTTGTGCACTTCGGATTCGCCGTTTATCCTTTCTCGCTGTCTCCCTCTGCTCCCAAGGAAGGCGATCCATACCTGCCTGGATCTCTTCCCAAGTCCAGGATCCCTTACCGTCCAAAATATCCTCCCATGTCCATGTTGTCTGCTCTTCCTGTTCACGCTGCTTGGTCCGTTGGTGGTGGGATCTTCTGTCACGTTCGTTGTGTAAATGATTGGACCAAGGTGCAGCGTGGTATGCGTACATGTTTAATGTTAATATTAAACACTCTACAAAATAACAAAGCAACTGAACGTGAAGTTCTAAAGGCTATACATCAAACAAGCCAAACACACAGAAACAAGATCCCACAACTAAAGGTAGGCAAAATGGCTACCTAAGTATGATCCCCAATCAGAGACAACGATCAACAGCTGCCTCTGATTGGGAACCACACCCTGCCAACATAGACATAGATAACATAGATCTACACCTAGAATTTCACACCCTGACCAAACCAACTAGAGATCTCTATATCAGGGCGTGACAGTACCCCCCCCCAAAGGTGCGGACTCCGGCCGCAAAACTGACTCATTAGGGGAGGGTCCGGGTGGGCATTTAGCCTCGGTGGCGGCTCCAGCTCCGGGCGCGACGTCCACCTTACTGTCCTCTCCTTTTCTGGCTCCCCGTTGCACACCTGGTCCGGTCTGGACCCCGGCGCGATGCTTCCCCTCTCCGTCCTCCCACAATGCACCAAGCCCTGTCTGGACCCTGGTGTGGGAGCCCTTGACCCTGGAGAGGGGCCGACGTCTGGTTCCGGCTCGGCAGTCCTCCCATGATGCAACAAGTCCTGTCTGGACCCTGGTGTGGGACCCCTTGACCCTGGAGAGGGACCGACATCTGGTTCCGGCTCTGCAGTCCTCCCGCGATGCACCAAGTCCTGTCTGGACCCTGGTGTGGGAGAGTAGACGACCGGACCCGGACTGCTCTGGCATGGGACTGGAGCAGCTAACCGGAGCTGGACTAGGCACCGGTGGAGCAGACTGCTCTGGCATTGGACTGGAGCAGCTAACCGGAGCTGGACTGGGCACCGGTGGAGCGGACTACTCTGGCACTGGAGGGGAGCAGCTGACCGGAGCTAGACTAGGCACCGGTGGAGCGGACTGCTCTGGCACTGGAGTGGAGCAGTTGACCGGAGCTGGAATGGGCACCGGTGGAGTGGACTGCTCTGGCACTGGAGTGGAGCAGTCCACTCCACCGGTGCCTAGTCCAGCCCCGGTCAGCTGCTCTAGTCCAGAGCCAGAGCAGTCCGCTCCACAGGGGTCCAGTTCAGCTCCGGTCAGTGTCTCCACTCCAGTGCCAGAGCTGTCCGCTCCACCGGCGCCCTGGCGGCACAGTGCGCAACGCCGGGGCATAGCCTGGTGCCTGCACGGTCACACGCTCCTCAAAGCGAGTGAGGGGAGTTGGCTCTGCTCTGCAACCTTGCTTCGCCAGCCTCTGCTCTAAGTACTGAGCTCTCTGCTGCTGAAGGGTTAACTCCTCTCTCAGCTCCTCCTGTTGCCTGGCCAACTCCTCTCTCAGTGCATCCACTGACTCCTTCTCCCTGTGAGCCTCCTGTAGCGCCTCCCTCTGAAGGGAGAACTCCTGCTCCCTCTGAGCTAACAGCCCCCGCAATGTGGTGGTCTCCTCTCTCAGACTGCTGAGCTGCAGGTCTTGGACCTACTATACTATAGCGGCCTCCTCCTCCTCCACAGTCAGCCTTTTCACGGCCTCCTGCTGCTTCGTCGACCACTCCGTGTGCCCGATCGACAGCTGCCTCTGATTGGGAACCACACCCTGCCAACATAGACATAGATAACATAGATCTACACCTAGAATTTCACACCCTGACCAAACCAACTAGAGATCTCTATGTCAGGGCGTGACAGATACACACACTTTCATACCAATCTATTTTTCTGCAGTGATACTTGATTGACTGACCAACCAACAACAACAACAGCACAAACAAGGCATAGAAATGTCTGTTAGTGATGGAAATGTACATCAGACAAATACTGTGTAGGGAGGGTACTCTGGAATGTTCAGTCACTTGATTCTTAAAGCAACATTTCTCAGTGATCTATGAGACACTGAACATATAGAACAACTGTATGGAATTGTGTATCCATTCAGTCACCTAGGAAACAACATGGCTACCAAACATGGACCTAGCATAGGCTCTTTCTAATGGAACTCCGTCACTTACTCTTTCCGCTGGAAAGACTGCGGTTGTAGCCGACCGGACTGAAGAACTCAAATATGAAGACGGTCACAGCCACCACGGTCAGGCACATGACGAACATCATCACCCACACCGCTGGACTGTAGGGCTCTGAGGGACAGGACAGGACAGGACAGGACAGGACAGGAGAGGAGAGGAGAGGAGAGGAGAGGAGAGGAGAGGAGAGGAGAGGAGAGGAGAGGAGAGGAGAGGAGAGGAGAGGAGAGGAGAGGAGAGGAGAGGAGAGGAGAGGAGAGGAGAGGAGAGGAGAGGAGAGAGAGGAGAGGAGAGGAGAGGAGAGGAGAGGAGAGACAGAGAGGAGAGGAGAGGACAGAGAGGAGAGGACAGAGAGGAGAGGAGAGGAGAGGAGAGGAGAGGAGAGGAGAGGAGAGGAGAGGAGAGGAGAGGAGAGGAGAGGAGAGGAGAGGAGAGGAGAGACAGTCAGTATAAACACAACTTAGAACACATTGTTGATAGAAGCGACTGAGAATCCATCAGAGGCCAAATAAATCTAAGTTACAGAGCTCCGCGAGCAAACAAACCAGCTAGCTAACACAGCATGACTCACTACTCCAGTGTTTTTGTGTCTTCCAGTCCATTCAGTTCACTGTAATTCATTCTAAAAAAGTATTTCACCTGCTGACAGAGTGGAAGTATAAGCTGAGATGACGTGACAAACTGGGAAAGTAACAACGAAGGCAAGTAAAGATTGAACCACAACACTTTTGAATTGGGAGAGGGTAAGCTGATCCTAGATCAGTGCATACATTTACATTTTACATGTTTTCATTTTTGTCATTCAGCAGACTCTCTTATCCAGAGTGACAGTTAGTGCATTCATCTTAAGATACAGCAGCTAGGTGGGACAACCGCATATCACAGTCATGGTAGGTACAATTTTCCTCAATAAAGTAGCTATCAGCAAAGTTAGAGCTAGAAAGGGAGGGGGAGTGTCAAGTGCAAGTGTTGGTTCAGGAATTGTAAAAAATATAATATTTTTTTTTGGGGGGGGGGGTCGAGGTAAGGACAGGGATTATTTCATTTCCACCTGGACCGTCAATAGTGTCCAGATGAACTTCAACCTCATCAGTCATCAGTTCCTTCACTCACCCAGGAAGGCAGAGGGTGAGACGGTTCCGTTGCTACGGGAGACCATGACGCTGATGCCTGTCTCCACGAAGGGGACGGAGAAATCCACGACCTCTGACCTCTCCTCGTTGATGGTGAGGGAGCCGATGGCCATGTCCGCTCGCTGTCCCACCACCTGATGGACGGGAGGAGAAACTACAGTCAGGGAGATAGAGGGGTACACTGGCCTTATAACACAGTATTATAGGAGAAACTACAGTCAGAGAGATAGAGGGGTACACTGGCCTTATAACACAGTATTATAGGATAAACTACAGTCAGAGAGATAGAGGAGTACACTGGCCTTATAACACAATATTATAGGAGAAACTACAGTCAGAGAGATAGAAGGGTACACTGGCGTTATAACACAGTATTATAGGAGAAACTACAGTCAGAGAGATAGAGGGGTACACTGGCCTTATAACACAGTATTATAGGAGAAACTACAGTCAGAGAGATAGAGGGGTACACTGGCCTTATAACACTGTATTATAGGAGAAACTACAGTCAGAGAGATAGAGGTGTCACGCGACGTGTATGCGGTCAGCGAAGTCAAACGCAGGACACAGAGCGGCTGGCAACGTACTTTTACTGAACACAGTAAATATAGTGCAAAAACAACAAACCTCCAAACAGGGAGGAAAACACAATAACCCGTACACCAAAGCAACTGCCGGAATGACAAAGAACAATCACACACAATAACCAATGAGAGACAGGGGGTAATATAGGGAATACAATACAACATAATAGGAAACAGGTGTAAACAATAAAGAACAAACAAGACAAACACCGAAACATCGATCGGCAGTAGCTAGTACTCCGGGGACGACGAACGCCGAAGCCTGCCCGAGCAAGGAGGAGGAGCAGCCTCGGCTGAATCCGTGACAGTACCCCCCCCCTTGACGCGCGGCTCCAGCCGTGCGCCGACCCCGGCCTCGGGGACGGCCAGGAGGACGCGGAGCAGGGCGAGTCGGATGACTCCGGTGGAAATCCCTCAACAGGGAGGGATCTAGGATGTCCCTCCTAGGGACCCAGCACCGTTCCCCCGGACCGTACCCCTCCCACTCCACGAGATACTGCAGACCCCCCATCCGACGCCTCGAATCCAAGATGGACCGGACTGAGTACGCCGGAGCCCCCTCGATGTCTAGTGGGGGTGGAGGAGCCTCTCGTACCTCATTCTCCTGGAGTGGACCAGCTACCACCGGCCTGAGGAGAGACACATGGAACGAGGGGTTAATGCGGTAATTAATGGGCAGTTGTAACCTATAACATACCTCGTTCAATCTCCTCAGGACTTTAAATGACCCCACAAACCGCCGACCCAGCTTCCGGCAGGGCAGGCGAAGGGGCAGATTTCGGGTCGAGAGCCAGACCCGATCTCCCGGTGCATACACCGGAGCCTCACTGCGGTGGTGATCGGCGCCTGCCTTTTTCCGCCTGATGGCCCGCTGCAGATGGACATGCGCAGCGTTCCATGTTTCTTCCGAGCGCCGAAACCACTCATCCACCGCAGGGGCTTCGATCTGGCTCTGATGCCAGGGTGCCAGGACCGGCTGATAACCCAGCACACACTGAAAAGGCGGAAGATTAGTAGAGGAGTGGCGGAGTGAGTTTTGGGCTATCTCTGCCCAGGGGATATACCCCGACCACTCCTCCTGCCGGTCCTGGCAATAGGACCTCAGAAACCTACCCACATCCTGGTTTACTCTCTCCACCTGCCCATTACTCTCAGGGTGAAAACCTGAGGTAAGGTTAATCAAGACCCCCAGACGTTCCATAAACGCCCTCCAGATTCTAGAGGTGAACTGGGGACCCCGATCAGACACTATATCCTCAGGCACCCCGTAGTGCCGGAAGACGTGAGTAAACAGGGCGTCGGCAGTTTGTAGGGCTGTAGGGAGACCTGGCATAGGAATGAAACAGCTGGCCTTAGAAAACCGATCCACAACGACCAAGATCGTAGTGTTCCCCTGGGAGGGGGGAAGGTCCATGACAAAATCCACCGATAGGTGAGACCACGGCCGTTGTGGAACGGGTAGGGGTTGTAACTTCCCTCTGGGCAGGTGTCTAGGCGCCTTACACTGGGCGCACACCGAGCAGGAGGAAACGTAAACCCTCACGTCCCTAGCTAAAGTGGGCCACCAGTACTTCCCACTAAGGCAGTGCACTGTCCGACCAATACCAGGATGACCAGAGGAGGGTGACGTGTGAGCCCAATATATCAGTCGATCACGAACCTCGAGCGGCACGTACTTCCGTCCCTCTGGACACTGTGGGGGAGTAGGGTCGGCACGTAACGCCCGCTCGATGTCCGCATCGACCTCCCACACCACCGGTGCCACCAGACAAGACTCCGGAAGTATGGGAGTGGGCTCAATGGACCTCTCCTCTGTGTCATATCGTCGGGACAGGGCGTCTGCCTTAGCGTTCTGTGACCCTGGTCTATAGGTGAGCTTAAATACAAATCGGGTAAGAAATATGGCCCACCTAGCCTGGCGAGGGTTCAGTCTCCTCGCTGCCCGGATGTACTCCAGGTTACGATGGTCAGTCAGAATGAGAAAATGGTGTTTAGCCCCCTCAAGCCAATGCCTCCACACCTTCAGGGCTTGAACCACCGCTAGCAGCTCCCTGTCCCCCACGTCATTTGCGCTCCGCCGGACTGAGCTTCTTAGAATAGAAAGCACAGGGGCAGAGTTTTGGTGGCGTACCCAAGCGCTGAGACAGTATAGCACCGATCCCCGCCTCGGACGCATCCACCTCAACTTGGAACGCCAAAGAGGGATCCGGATGTGCCAGCACCGGAGCCGAGGTGAACAGGTCCTTCAGTCTAAACGCCCTGTCCGCCTCAGCCGACCACTGCAGACGCACCGGGCCCCCCTTTAGCAGGGAGGTGATGGGAACTGCTACCTGTCCAAAGCCCCGGATAAACCTCCGGTAGTAATTGGCAAAACCCAAGAACCGCTGCACCTCCTTCACCGTGGTGGGAGTCGGCCAATTACGCACGGCTGAAACGCGGTCAATCTCCATCTCCACCCCTGACGCGGACAACCGATGTCCCAGGAAGGAGATGGACTCCTGGAAAAACAGACATTTCTCCGCCTTCGCATACAGGTCATGCTCCAACAGTCTACCAAGCACCCGATGCACCAGGGACACATGCTCGGCTCGTGTAGCGGAGTATATTAGAATGTCATCAATATACACCACTACACCCTGTCCATGCAAATCCCGGAAAATCTCGTCCACAAACGATTGGAAGACTGAAGGAGCATTCATTAAACCGTATGGCATGACGAGGTACTCATAGTGACCCGAGGTGGTACTGAATGCTGTCTTCCACTCATCTCCCTCCCTAATGCGCACCAGGTTGTACGCGCTCCTGAGATCCAATTTTGTGAAGAATCGCGCCCCGTGTAATGACTCCGTCATACTAGCAATCAGAGGGAGAGGATAGCTGTATTTGATTGTAATCTGAGTGAGACCACGGTAATCAATACACGGGCATAAACCCCCATCCTTCTTCTTCACAAAAAAGAAACTCGAGGACGCAGGGGAAGTGGACGATCGTATGTATCCCTGTCTTAGAGATTCGGTGACATATGTCTCCATAGCTGCCGTCTCCTCCTGAGACAGAGGATACACATGACTACGAGGAAGCGCAGCGCCTACCTGGAGGTCTATCGCACAATCCCCCTGTCGATGAGGTGGTAATTGAGTCGCCTTCTTTTTACAGAAGGCGAGTGCCAAATCGGCATACTCAGGAGGAATGTGCATGGTGGGAACTTGGTTCGGGCTTTCCACCGTCGTTGCCCCTACGGAAACACCTACACACCGCCCGACCATCCCTTGAGAGCCCTCTGTTGCCATGAAATGTTGGGGTCATGAGATGTTAACCAGGGAAGCCCCAACACCACGGGAAACGCAGGAGAATCAATCAAATATAACCGTATAATCTCCTCATGGCCCTCCTGCGTCTTCATCTTAAGTGGCGCTGTGACCTCCCTAATCAATCCCGACCCCAAAGGGCAGCTATCTAGGGCATGGATGGGGAAGGGCACATCAACTGGTACAATAGGAATCCCTAACTTATACGTGAACCGGCGATCGATAAAATTCCCAGCTGCGCCTGAATCTACTAGCACCTTATGCTGGGAGTGAGGAGAAACCTCGGGAAACACAACTTTAATACACATATGCGCAACAGAGAGCTCTGGGTGAGTTGGGTGCTTACTCACCTGGAATGACTCATCAGTGCGCTGCCTACTGCCTCGATTCCTAGGAGACCCTCCCCAGCACCGAAACCGCAGTGTGTCCTCTGCGGCCACAGTTGGTGCAGGGGACGGCCTCTCTTCTGGTCTCTCTCCTGGTCTCCCTAGCACCAGCACCCCCGAGCTCCATAGGGCTCGGCTCGGAAGTGCTGGGGGATGGAATGGACGGCCCCGACTCCGGACGTCCGCGGGTAGCCAACAGGGTATCTAGGCGAATCGACATGTCCACCAGCTGATCGAAGCTTAGGTTGGTGTCCCTGCAGGCTAATTCCCGACGCACGTCCTCCCTCAGGCTACACCTGTAGTGGTCGATGAGGGCCCTCTCATTCCATCCCGCGTTGGCAGCCAGAGTCCGGAAGTCCAGTGCGAACTCCTGCGCGCTCCTCTTCCCCTGTCTGAGGTGGAACAGACGCTCACCCGCCGCCTTCCCCTCGGGGGGATGATCGAACACCGCCCTGAAGCAGCGGGTGAACTCCGCATAGTTGACTGTAGCGGCGTCTATTCCCCCCCACTCGGCGTTGGCCCACTCCAGCGCCTTGCCGGACAGACAGGAGATGAGGGCGGACACGCTCTCGTATCCCGAGGGCACCGGGTGGATGGTTGCCAGGTAGAGTTCCACTTGGAGCAGGAAATTCCTGACACCCGGCCGCTGTGCCATCATAAGCCCTCAGGAGCGAGAGCCGAATCCCACTGGACCCCGGAGGTGAAGCGATGGGTATAGCTGATGGTGGTGGTATCGTCGGAGGAGGTGTGGGCAAACCTCCTCTTTCCCATCGCTCCATGGTGTTCACCACCCGTTCCATGGCACCGCCGCTCCTGCTGACTCCATGTCTAGGTGTGTGATTCTGTCACGCGACGTGTATGCGGTCAGCGAAGTCAAACGCAGGACACAGAGCGGCTGGCAACGTACTTTTACTGAACACAGTAAATATAGTGCAAAAACAACAAACCTCCAAACAGGGAGGAAAACACAATAACCCGTACACCAAAGCAACTGCCAGAATGACAAAGAACAATCACACACAATAACCAATGAGAGACAGGGGGTAATATAGGGAATACAATACAACATAATAGGAAACAGGTGTAAACAATAAAGACCAAACAAGACAAACACCGAAACATCGATCGGCAGTAGCTAGTACTCCGGGGACGACGAACGCCGAAGCCTGCCCGAGCAAGGAGGAGGAGCAGCCTCGGCTGAATCCGTGACAAGAGGAGTACACTGGCCTTATAACACAGTATTATAGGAGAAACTACAGTCAGAGAGATAGAGGAGTACACTGGCGTTATAACACAGTATTATAGGAGAAACTACAGTCAGAGAGATAGAGGAGTACACTGGCCTTATAACACAGTATTATAGGAGAAACTACAGTCAGAGAGATAGAGGGGTACACTGGCCTTATAACACAGTATTATAGGAGAAACTACAGTCAGAGAGATAGAGGAGTACACTGGCCTTATAACACAGTATTATAGGAGAAACTACAGTCAGAGAGATAGAGGGGTACACTGGCCTTATAACACAGTATTATAGGAGAAACTACAGTCAGAGAGATAGAGGGGTACACTGGCCTTTAACACATAATTATAGGAGAAACTACAGTCAGAGAGATAGAGGAGTACACTGGCCTTATAACACAGTATTATAGGAGAAACTACAGTCAGAGAGATAGAGGGGTACACTGGCCTTATAACACAGTATTATAGGAGAAACTACAGTCAGAGAGATAGAAGAGTACACTGGCCTTATAACACATTATTATAGGAGAAACTACAGTCAGAGAGATAGAGGGGTACACTGGCCTTATAACACAGTATTATAGGATAAACTACAGTCAGAGAGATAGAGGAGTACACTGGCCTTATAACACAATATTATAGGAGAAACTACAGTCAGAGAGATAGAGGGGTACACTGGCCTTATAACACAGTATTATAGGATAAACTACAGTCAGAGAGATAGAGGAGTACACTGGCGTTATAACACAGTATTATAGGAGAAACTACAGTCAGAGAGATAGAGGGGTACACTGACCTTATAACACAGTATTATAGGAGAAACTACAGTCAGAGAGATAGAGGGGTACACTGGCCTTATAACACAGTATTATAGGAGAAACTACAGTCAGAGAGATAGAGTGGTACACTGGCCTTATAACACAGTATTATAGGAGAAACTACAGTCAGAGAGATAGAGGGGTACACTGGCCTTATAACACACTATTATAACACAGGTCTAAAAACAACCCCTATCCTCCTTCGCCTCGTCCCTACACCTATAACAGGGTTCCCGAACTGGCGGCCCGCGGCCCGAATTTGGCCCAAGGGTGGTTTTATTTGGCCCCCCAAGTTTTCTGAGCAAAGAAAATATAATTTCAACCAAAAAAATATTGGTGGGGAATTTTCATTGTAGGACATAAAAGACTGTAAAAACACCAGGCAATCAGCTCCAAGTGATTTCAATTTAAGAAATCTGTTCCCAAGTATTCCCACGCTTAATAGAGAGACATGATCGTATACATTTGTAAGCAAGGTGTGAAATGATTATGTTTTAGTCAAAAATTATATCTGTTTGGGCTTCTTGCGGTCAATTTGCAGTCTACAAATTATTTGTAATTGTATTCCGGCCCCCCGACCATCCGCTCAAGAACAAATCGTCCCGTGGCTGAATCTAGTTGATGATCCCTGCCCTATAACCTGTCTGACCCTAGATATGGGTTAGCACCTTATGTAGTCTGCTGAATGGGCTACAACACAGTGTGAACACCATCCACGTGTCTCCTCCTATACATCTCTTCATCACACAAAGTGAGTTAGCCCCCATCTAAATTGAAAACTGCTGTGTCGGCTGATTGAATAAGTGAAATGTTAATCTGCATTAGACATGGCACATCCTCATTTCAGAGTAAATCAGCAGAAAAAGGGGAGTGAGCAGCAACACAACACACACTCCCCTCTGTCAAGTCTCTGGATTAGCGGCAGGCTTTGGAACATCTGATCAAAAGACCAGAATTAGCCTGAGAAAATAAAACGCACTTATCCGTTTGCATGTGAATGTAGGTGGATAGCACCATTGGCCCTGGTTCAAGCCATAAAGATGACAGATAAAGAGGAAGTAGAGCAGGGAGTGAGATTGTTTCTGCTCCCATGACAACCAGGCTGTACCAGCGTTCCCCGTGGGACCTGAGGAGGCGCAGCGGGACACTTCCTCCAAACACCCCCCCCCCCCCCCCCCCCCCCCCCCCCCCCCCCCCCCCCCCCCCCCATCCCGCTCGCTCACAGTGTTTGTGTGTGTCTGTGAGTGTGTGTGTGTGTGTCGGTGTGTGTGTGTGTGTGTGTGTGTGTGATTTTGTTCACGTATGTGTGTGTGTGCAGGACACTTTCCCGAAACAACAGCCCCCTGTTTATCTCTCAGAAAAAGAGCTGTAATACCCAGGGGGTGTCTGTGACTGTGTCAGTGTGTGTCAGTGTGTGTCAGTGTGTGACCGTGTGTGTCAGTGTGTGTCAGTGTGTGTCAGTGTGTGTCAGTGTGTGTCCGTGTGTGTCAGTGTGTGTCAGTGTGTGTCAGTGTGTGTCAGTGTGTGACCGTGTGTGACCGTGTGTGTCAGTGTGTGTCAGTGTGTGTCAGTGTGTGTCAGTGTGTGTCAGTGTGTGACCGTGTGTGTCAGTGTGTGTTCATGTGTGTGTTCATGTGTGTGTTCATGTGTGCACATGCTTGTCAATGTTGCATACGTGCTTCTGTGTGAGAGAGAGTAAGTGCCTTTGGATAAGAGCGTCTGCTAAATGACTAAAATGGAAATGTATGTAAGTGTGCGTAAGTGCGTGCCTGTGTGTATGTATGTGTGTGTGTGTCTGTGTGTATGTGTGTGTGTGTGTGTGTGTGTGTGTGTGTGTATGTGTATGGGTGTGTGTGTGTGTGTGTGTGTGTATGGGTGTGTGTGTGTGTGTGTGTGTGTGTATGTGTGTGTGTGTGTGTGTGTGTGTGTGTGTGTGTGTGTGTGTGTGTGTGTGTGTGTGTGTGTGTAATAAACGATGTCTGTCTGTGAGTGCTGGCTGTGGTTAAGGTCCCATAACTCTGTCTGTGATTGATGTGACACCCAGCGTTTAACTGGTTTCCCCGGAGGCAGCAGCACAGGCCAGGGAACGCTTGAACATACACAGCCAACACACAGCCAACGAAACACACACACACACACAGAGCAACAGACACACATACACATGCACACACACACACACACACACACACACACTAAGCTACAGCAACCTACACAAACACACTGAGGAACAACACAAACACATGCTCAGAGCTACACACACGTACATTCTCATGCAGAGCTATAGTCGCACAACAGCGAAACACTAAGAAACAGCAAGCCTGACCTTCCAACCAGGAAGAAAAACCACCTTACGAGGTCCTTAACTGCCATACATCATGACCTCTGAACGGGAGGGCCCCCGTCATGTGACCTCACTCTAATCCATCAATCATCAGTCATCCAATCAATCAAATGTTATTCGTACAGCAGGCCTTTTAAATGGAGACTCCCCCTAATGTAATGGCAGCAGGCAGTGTGCCAAGTCTCAGTGCTCCTCTCCTCTCTGGCAACAGCTGCTGTGGAAAGTAGCGTTGACCTTTTTCCAACAACCATTATGGTCAAGAAGAACAACGTACTGTAGCCTACCAATGTCTAATCAATCAGTCACGTTTTACAGACCTCTCCAATCATGCCGTTCCACACCCCGTCAATCTTCTTCCCGTGCTTCCCATTGGTCACCAGGTAGAGGTCGTAGGTGAAACCCACGATCTTGGCCAATCGCTTGAGGATGTCGATGCAGAAACCCTTACAGCACTGTTTCTTTGGGGGATCCTGGACAGGAATACTGGAGGAGGAAGGAAGAGGGAGACGAGGTGGAGGAGAGGATAGAGAGAGAGAGAGAGAGAGCGAGAGAGAGAGAGAGAGAGAGAGAGAGAGAGAGAGAGAGAGAGTGAGCAAGAGAGAGAGAGAACGTGAGAGAGAGCATGAGAGAGAGAAAGAAATAGAGATAGATAGCGAGAGAGAGAGAGAGAGAGAGAGAGAGAGAGAGAGAGAGAGAGAGGAGAGAGAGAGAGAGCGTGAGAGAGGGAGAGAGAGAGGGAGAGAGAATATATAACATTTAAAATATGTTGTTTGATTTAAGACAAAGAATGTCTCTCTTCTTCTTTTTCTTACACTGGCTAAGACCCTCCCCCTCAGTCAGGGCAACACTCCATACAGGAAATCACAGTTATGGATTATGCCTTTAAGTGAGAGTCAAATAGTGCTGCCACATGATAATTGTTCTCATCCCTCCTAGAGGTGGTGAACCGTGAGGCGTGGACCTCTATTGCAGCTATATTGTGTTCGTGTCCAATTTAACCCCCATACAGTATATCTTCAATTTAATCACATATAACCCCATATACCATCTGGGCTCACACTCAACACTACATTGTCGATTAGGATGAGAGGTTATGTGGAGAGTGGAGGGTTAATACGTTATTTGTTTGAGTTCAATACACCATGGAAGTGAATATGTAATATGTTGACACCACGTGATCATTACACTGGAGACACTTGATATTACGAAGGTCGATCTCTGAAAAACGACAGTTCCATTTTGCTGATGTGTTTGTCTCCAGGGGCGTCTGGTTGCTACTGTATGTGTGTCACTAGGGAATTACCCGTATTTTACTGTGTCCTCCAAGACCCTGGACAGTCCCCTGATGAAGTGTAAGGAATTAATTTTATTGTGTATTGGACAGGAACATAATTGTCTAATTTGACCCTTCACCCCTGCCCTCTGACCTGGCGTTGAGGGGTCGTCGGCAGGGTACAGAGTCTCTGATGCAGGTGTTGGAGGCGGCGTCAGCCAGCTCCACGATGACAAACGGACGTTCCTCCAGAGTGACCACGCGCAGGTGCTGGGCGCCATCGGGGGGTTGGAGGAACGGACCATAACGCGACCACGCTGGGTAAACCAAATCCAACTTACCGTTCTCCCACATCCCTACCTGGGGAAAGAGAAGGGAGCGGGTTAGAGAGGACACACACACACACCTTTCTCTTATCAACCAACCCCGGGAAGGAGAAGGGAGTGGGTTACACACACACACACCCTCACACACACACACACACAGTGTGCCATCCAGTGTATTGTATTGTACTGTATGTGAACCAGTGAGTAGAGAAAGAACAGGTCTGACAGCATTTCGACCACACTTAGACCACAGGTCCTCCACCAGCGTTCAATCACATCCCCTTCAGAAGAAACAGTCAACAGACAGTACCTCCAGACAGGAAGAGAACATTCAGACCCAGGATTCTCTCAACCACACACACACACACACACACACACTTAAACACACACACACACACACAGCAGCCAAACCAGGGGTATTGAGATAGCAGTAATCCACACATTGCCAAAAATAGTTATTCCAATTGAAGCAACGAGAGACACATAAAGACGATCTCACACTAGAACTGAACAACTGTATTCCCTACAAACTGAGGACTTTCCATAGGTCTAAAGCCTTGGTCTTGTCACTATTGAGTGCAGTGATCTGGAAAAGGAGTACTGTAGCGTGTGACTGAATACAGTGTACCATATAAGGTAAGCTGATGTTCTGACTGAATAACTTTAACTACATAAACCAGCCACTAGATCAGCTGCACAACACATATACACTACCATTCAAAAGTTTGGGGTCACTTAGAAATGTCCTTGTTTTCGAAAGAAAAGCAATTTTTTTGTCCATTAAAATAACATCAAATTGATCAGAAATACAGTGTAGACATTGTTAATGTTGTAAATGGCTACTGTAGCTGGAAACGGGTGTTTTTTTATGGAATATCTACATAGGCGTACAGAGCCCCATTATCAGCAACCATCAATCCTGTGTTCCAATGGCACGTTGTGTTTGCTAATCCAAGTTGATCATTTTAAAAGGCTAATTGTCACGATCGTTATGAGAAGCGGACCAAGGCGCAGCGGGATAGGCGTACATACTTTATTGAAGTGTACACAACACAAACAAAAACAACAAAACGATACGCGAAGTCCTAGGTCATAACACAAACCAAACGGAACAAGATCCCACAAAACTAAAATGCCAAAAGGCTGCCTAAGTATGGTCCCCAATCAGAGACAACGAGCTACAGCTATCTCTGATTGGGAACCACCCTGGCCAACATAGAAATAAACGATCTAGAACAAAACCCATAGAAAACTAAACATAACAAGTCCACACCCTGGCTCAACATTTAAGAGTCCCCAGAGCCAGGGCGTGACAGTACCCCCCCCCCAAAGGCGCGGACAGCGACCGCGCCAACCAAACACAACAGGGGAGGGGCCAGGTGGGCATTCCGCCTCGGAGGCGGATCCGGCTCCGGGCGTGACCACCACTCTCCCTCTACCCCCCCGTAGCATCCCTGGTCTGGTCTGGCCCCGCTGGCCGGAGCTGGACTGGACACCAGTGTAGCGGATTGCTCTGGCTCCGGAGTGGAGCAGCTGACCGGTGCCGGACCAGGCACCGGTGGAACAGGCACGGACCGTGCCGGACTGACGACGCGCACCACTGGCTTGGTGCGGGGAGCAGGAACGGGCCGGACCGGGCTGGCGACGCGCACCACTGGCTTGGTGCGGGGAGCAGGAACGGGCCGGACCGGGCTGACGACGCGCACCACTGGCTTGGTGCGGGGAGCAGGAACGGGCCGGACCGGGCTGGCGACGCGCACCACTGGCTTGGTGCGGGGAGCAGGAACGGGCCGGACCGGGCTGACGACGCGCACCACTGGCTTGGTGCGGGGAGCAGGAACGGGCCGGACCGGGCTGGCGACGCGCACCACTGGCTTGGTGCGGGGAGCAGGAACGGGCCGGACCGGGCTGACGACGCGCACCACTGGCTTGGTGCGGGGAGCAGGAACAGGCCGGACCGGGCTGGCGACGCGCACCACAGGCTTGGTGCGAGGGACAGGAACAGGCCGGACCGGGCTGGCGACGCGCACCACTGGCTTGGTGCGGGGAGCAGGAACAGGCCGGGCTGGACTGGGAACACGCACCATAGGCTTGGTGCGGGGAGCAGGAACAGGCCGGACCGGGCTGACGACGCGCACCACAGGCTTGGTGCGAGGGACAGGAACAGGCCGGACCGGGCTGGCAACGCGCACCACAGGCTTGGTGCGAGGGACAGGAACAGGCCGGGCTGGACTGTGGAGACGGACTGGAGGTCTGGAGCGGAGAGCTGACACAACCCGTCTGGCTGAATGCCTATTTCCACACACTCTGTGTGAGGCATCAGCACAGGACGTACAGGGCTGTGCACTCGTACTGGCACTACAGCACGTGGCACTGGCGCAGGATATCCGGGACCAAGGAGGGGTACTGGAGGCCACGAGCATTGAGCCGGCACACTCCGTCCTGGCTGCATGCCCACCTTAGCACGACACGTGCGTGGTGCTAGCACAGGACGTACAGGACTGTGCCGGAACACTCGCAGCACAGTACGTGGCTCCGCATACCACGGAACCTGCCCAGTCTCACGCTACCTAGCCTGTGTACGGGGAGTTGGCTCTGCTCTACCTCTAGGCTCCGCCAACCACCCTTCCAGCCCCCCAAACCTGGTGGCCTCCTCTCCTAGATTGCCGATGCGGCCTGTAGCTGCCTCCAGCAGCCCCGTCGTCCACGGCGTGTGCCCCCCAAAAAATTTACTTGGGGTTGCCTCTCGCGTGTCCGTCGTCGGCACGGTTGGCGCCGTTTCTCCTCTCCTGCCTGGGCCTTTACTTCTGCCCATGGCCCTCTGCCCGCGAATATGTCCTCCCAAGACCACCATTCGCCCACCTGGGACATCTCCAACCTCTCCTGTTTGGCACGCTGCTTGGTCCTCTCTTGGTGGGATCTTCTGTCACGATCGTTATGAGAAGCGGACCAAGGCGCAGCGTGATAGGCGTACATACTTTATTGAAGTGTACACAACACGAACAAAAACAACAAAACGATACGCAAAGTCCTAGGTCATAACACAAACCAAACGGAAAAAGATCCCACAAAACTAAAATGCCAAAAGGCTGCCTAAGTATGGTCCCCAATCAGAGACAACGAGCTACAGCTGTCTCTGATTGGGAACCACCCTGGCCAACATAGAAATAAACGATCTAGAACAAAACCCATAGAAAACTAAACATAACAAGTCCACACCCTGGCTCAACATTTAAGAGTCCCCAGAGCCAGGGCGTGACACTAATTGATCATTAGAAAACCCTTTTGCAATTATGTTAGCACAGCTGAAAACTGTGGTGCTGATTAAAGAAGCAATAAAACGGGCCTTCTTGAGACTAGTTGAGTATCTGGAGTATCAGAAATTGTGGGTTCGATTACAGGCTCAAAATGGCCAGAAACAAATAACTTTCTTCTGAAACTCTTCAGTCTATTCTTGTTCTGAGAAATTAAGGCTATTCCATGCGAGAAATTGCCAAGAAACTGAAGATCTCGTACAACGCTGTGTACTACTCCCTTCACAGGACAGCGCAAACTGGCTCTAACCAGAATATAAAGAGGAGTGGGAGGCCCCGGTGCACAAGTGAGCAAGAGGACAAATACATTAGAGTGTCTAGTTTGAGAAAAAAGCGCCTCACAGGTCCTCAACTGGCAGCTTCATTAAATAGTACCCACAAAACACTAGTCTCAACGTCAACAGTGAAGAGGCGACTCCGGGATGCTGACCTTCTAGGCAGAGTTGCAAAGAAAAAGCCATATCTCAGTCTGCCCATCATAATATTTTCTTTTTATTGGGCAGTCTGAGATATGGCTTTTTCTTTGCAACTCTGCCTAGAAGGTCAGCATCCCGGAGTCGCCTCTTCACTGTTGACATTGAGACTGGTGTTTTGCGGGTACCGAGTGGCGCAGCGGTCTAAGGCATAGGGCGTCGTCCGGGTTTGGCCGGTGTAGGCCGTCATTGTAAATAAGAATTTGTTCTTAACTGACTTGCCTAGTTAAATAAAGGTTAAATAAAAAATAAAAAATAAATAAAAAATTTATGAAGCTGCCAGTTGAGGACCTGTGAGGCGCCTTTTTCTCAAACTAGACACTCTAATATATTTGTCCTCTTGCTCAGTTGTGCACCGGGGCCTCCCACTCCTCTTTCTATTCTGGTTAGAGCCAGTTTACGCTGTTCTGTGAAGGGAGTAGTACACAGCGTTGTACGAGATCTTCAGTTTCTTGGCAATTTCTCGCATGGAATAGCCTTCATTTCTCAGAACAAGAATAGACTGAAGAGTTTCAGAAGAAAGTTATTTGTTTCTGGTCATTTTGAGCCTGTAATCGAACCCACAATTTCTGATGCTCCAGATACTCAACTAGTCTCAAGAAGGCCCGTTTTATTTCTTCTTTAATCAGCACAACAGTTTTCAGCTGTGCTAACATAATTGCGAAAGGGTTTTCTAATGATCAATTAGCCTTTTAAAATGATCAACTTGGATTAGCAAACACAACGTGCCATTGGAACACAGGACTGATGGTTGCTGATAATGTGCCTCTGTACGCCTATGTACAGTGGGGAAAAAAAGTATTTAGTCAGCCACCAATTGTGCAAGTTCTCCCACTTAAAAATATGAGAGAGGCCTGTAATTTTCATCATATGTACACGTCAACTATGACAGAGAAAATGAGAAAAAAAATCCAGAAAATCACATTGTAGGATTTTTTATGAATTTATTTGCAAATTATGGTGGAAAATAAGTATTTGGTCAATAACAAAAGTTTCTCAATACTTTGTTATATACCCTTTGTTATCAATGACACAGGTCAAACGTTTTCTGTAAGTCTTCACAAGGTTTTCACACACTGTTGCTGGTATTTTGGCCCATTCCTCCATGCAGATCTCCTCTAGAGCAGTGATGTTTTGGGGCTGTCGCTGGGCAATACGGACTTTCAACTCCCGCCAAAGATTTTCTATGGGGTTGAGATCTGGAGACTGGCTAGGCCACTCCAGGACCTTGAAATGCTTCTTACGAAGCCACTCCTTCGTTGCCCGGGCGGTGTGTTTGGGATCATTGTCATGCTGAAAGACCCAGCCAAGTTTCATCTTCAATGCCCTTGCTGATGGAAGGAGGTTTTCACTCAAAATCTCACGATACATGGCCCCATTCATTCTTTCCTTTACACGGATCAGTCGTCCTGGTCCCTTTGCAGAAAAACAGCCCCAAAGCATGATGTTTCCACCCCCATGCTTCACAGTAGGTATGGTGTTCTTTGGATGCAACTCAGCATTCTTTGTCCTCCAAACACGACGAGTTGAGTTTTTACCAAAAAGTTATATTTTGGTTTCATCTGACATTCTCCCAATCCTCTTCTGGATCATCCAAATGCACTCTAGCAAACTTCAGATGGGTCTGGACATGTACTGGCTTAAGCAGGGGGACACGTCTGGCACTGCAGGATTTGAGTCCCTGGCAGCGTAGTGTGTTACTGATGGTAGGCTTTGTTACTTTGGTCCCAGCTCTCTGCAGGTCATTCACTAGGTCCCCCCGTGTGGTTCTGGGATTTTTGCTCACTGTTCTTGTGATCATTTTGACCCCACAGGGTGAGATCTTG